ATGGAAATATATTTGCCTGGTCATCGTCACTTTGAGAAGAAATACAAGCATTCAAAAGCACAGGAAATCACCAGACAGACTAAAAGAGGAGTTGTCATCCAGCAGAGATGGTTCATTGAGCCATTCACTCAAAAGGATTTCTCTTCTCCTATTTTATCACACACACTGTTGCACAAAGATCCATTTTTTTCTACTGTCACATGTACATATATTCATCCATAAAAACATTAAAAGACAAATGTACCCCCCTCAGGTCTTTTCTTCTACATCTGCTGTAACACAAGTCAGTGGCACTAACATATAATGAAGTACTCAACAGAACTCATCAATTTTTCTACTCTGTGGCCTGTTCATCTACCACAAGACTGAAGCTGCATGTTTAAAGGATTTATAATTGGCCTGTTTCTCAAATCCTGTGTTCTGAGAAGGTAGAACAGATTCTGTTTTCCCTTCTGTTTCTTCCTTTTTTTCCTTACACAAAGTTTTAGGTGGCTGCAGGAAACATTTGCTACAAAACAGCTCACAAATTCAACTGCAAAAGCACTTTCCAGAAATAGGGAAACAAACCTTCCAGGAAGTGAAGGCCTGAAATAGTACTTTTAAAACTGTGAGGAAATATTACATTACAATGTTATAGGTATATATAATTTGAACAAAGGCGATTTCCCACAGGACTTATCAGCTGTGCTACACACAAATCATCCTTCTAAACGCAGAGTTATTGTACAAATGCTCTATTACTGGAGGACTGCCACTGTGTTTCAGGATAGGGAAAGCAAGATCATTAAAGAAAAATGGCACAGGCCTTGGCATCGGGCATGAAATCAAACCATTGTTCAGCCAAAACCACATGGACCCACGTGATTTCCTGGTTCAAAGTCAACCTCTCACCCTCCTTGCTCTGCATTCACAGCCTTTATTTGCACCATGGATAAATCCAGCTATTGGCCATGTATTGGTCACAAGTGAAAAAGCATTTCATTTGGTGATGTCTTATGGAAACAGAAGTACATCAAAGTCTTTGTTTTGGCAGCTGCAAACCTTGAAAGTGTGTATGGATGAAATCCAGTATTTAGGACTCAGTAATTACAACCCTGCAGGGTTTCTACCCTCAGATATACATTGACATCTCCCTAGACCTTCACTTGTAAATAGCAGATAGAAGAGGAATGGTAAAAAGTATTGTCATTAAGGATGAAATAAACAAGGAGAAATAGATGCAGCAAGAACCCAGAGGAATCATGTCTGGAGAAAATTAATCCATCCTACTAATGTTAATTTCTGCAGTAGCCTTCTTCCAAAAGCTGGGAGGACACTGAGACTCCTCTCTTTATGCTCTCCTGTTCTTTATGTAGAACAAACCTTAATTTCTCAATTCATGAATCACACTCGTTTCCTTTAGGACTTCCATTATCAAAACAACAATAACCAACAGCTATCTCATCAATGCTATCAACCAGGGCCAAGTGCATCCCAATCAGGAAAAGTATTTACACAGGAAAAAAATTTCACTGCATATCAAAGTTATTTCGGTTCACAGTATCTAGCTTTGCCATTTTTCCTTGCAGCAGCTGAATCATCTGAAACTCTCCATGAGCCTAAATATAGGATGAAAAGGTTAATGCTGTGCCTCAATTCCTGCTCTAGACAAATGGGGGTTTATACTCTTCCTACTTTCATTCCTTTATGGAGGCACAGATCATCACTTGCCATCCACACCTCACAGAGAAACCCAAAGGAAAGTGGACAGAATTTCGGAAAGGCTCCAAGACAACTGAGAGCAAGCACAAGTTTATAGTCATGTGGCAAAATAGTGTCCATGCAGAGATATTCTGTGCTGATGCTTGGACTCCACTGCCCACAGGTGTCCCCACTGAAAGATCATCATCCTTCTACATACAGTTAATCTCCACGTTGGAGACCTGCCACTACCTTTCAGGACAGGGAAAACAGGATCACAGCATGAATGCACAGGCCTTGTTACCAGAAATAAAATCAAATAATTGCCCAGCCAAAATCACATTCACTCGCCTGTTTTCCTGGTTCCAAGTCAGTCTGTCACCCTTCCTACTCTGCATTCACAGCCTTTAGGTGGACAACATCCAACTATTCCTCACATATCAGACACATGTTCATTTAATTCAGTGCCATTTTATGGAAGCAGAAGTACAGCAATGTCTTTGTTTGTCTTGGGTATCGGGTTTGAGTGGCAAAGTTTTGGTGGCAGGGGGACTACAAGGATGGTTGCTGTGAGAAGATGCCAGAAGGTAACCCTATGTATGACAGAGTCAGTTTTGTCTGGCTCCAAGATGGACCCACTGCTAAACCAGTCAGCACTGGTGATAGTGCCTCTGTGGTGACATATTTAAGAAGGTTTGAGACCTGCTGCACAACGGCAGCAAGGAGAGATGAGTAAGAATACACAAGAGAAACAGCTATGCAGACACCAAGGTCAGTGAAGAAGGAGGTGCTCCAGGTGCCAGAGCAGATATTCCCCTGCAGCCCCTGATGAAGGCCATGATGAGGCAGGTTGTCTCCCCGCAGCACATGGAGGTCTGTGGTGGAGTAGATATCCACCCTGCTTTCTAGGAAGGAGCTCACACTGAAGCAGGTGGATGTGCCCTGAAGAAAGCTGTGGCCCTGTGGAGAGCTCACATTGTAGAAGGTTCTTGGAAGAACATGGCCCTGTGGAGAGGAGCTCATGCAGCAGCAGGCCTGCTGGCAGGACCTGTGACCCCTGCAGGTCACCCATGCTGGAGCAGTCCATCCTTAAAGGACTTCACCCTGTGGAAAAGACCCCTTTTGGAACAGTTTATGAAGATCTGCATCATGTGGGAAGGGTTCAGATGGAGAATATAATAAAGGACTGTCTACCACAGGTAGGACTTTATGCTGGATCAGGGGAAGAGCATGAGGAGGAAGGAGTGCTCATGATGAACTGACCCCAACTCCATTTCCAATAACATTGCACTTCTTGAGAGGAGCTAGGAAATTGAGCCCATAAAGAAGAGAGGAATGGAGAGAAGGTCTTTTTAAGATTTGGTTTTATTTCTCATTATCCTATTCTGATTTGATTGATAATAAATTGAAATAATGTCGTTGTTTCTCATTGTCCAGCTCTGACTTTTAATTGGCAATAGATTCAATTAATTTTCCCAAGTGGAGCCCGTTTTGTCCATGACAGTAATTACTGAGTGATCCCCCCCATCCTTATCTGGATCCATGAGCCTTTCCATATAATTTCTCTCCCTTGTCCAACAGCTTGATGGGCCCCTGGTGGCTCTACAAGGTTAACCCATAACATCTTGGCTGCTGTCAGTCTTCAAATTATGGCTATAAACCACTTCACCAGCCTGACAATCTGTCAGTCTTATACTATATTAATGTTTTCAGAGCTACCACGCACAAAGAGGCCCAACTTTAGAAGTGAAAAAAGAAACAAGGCAGACATGGGAAACCTGCAAAAGTGTAAAAATCACATCTTAACATTTCAGATTGTGTCAATTGTAATAAGTACGCAGAAAAAGTAACTACTTGCTAATAAGTACACACAAGGCTCACACAGGAGTTCAAACCACTGACTATAGCCATAGTTCCTCAATGGAATTCCTGTGGATAATAATAATAATAATAATAATAATAATAATAATAATAATAATAATAATAATAATAATAAAGAAAATGCATGAAAGCACATTTGTAGGCCTCATCTAAAAACTGGGGAAAACTGAACTTTGAGACCTTGCTTTTAGCCATTTCAAACTGTACCACAGTGAACTCTTGCACCTGCCCTTTCTCTGTACAGTCTGAACTCTTCACTTTTCCGAAATATCATACAACAAAGAGCTAAGTTTGCAGAGAGGCATCAATGAAACAAATATGGTGCACACAGATTTGCAGAGCCCAAAGACCGCAACACACGTTCATTCTTCATATAATTTGAAGAAACATAAAAAAATCTAAAGGCCATGAGCAATATACAGCTCAGGTATAGTCCTGGTCATTAAAGCATCAGCTGAAAGACAGCATCATCCTTCTCCAGCACAAGGGCAACCCAGAAAACACATTACATTAGCAAATTAATGCAAATGTTACATTTATGCCTAATAACCACCATTCATATGAATCATCATGAAACAGGAAAGCAAACTGAGGAACACACAACTAGGTCTGTCAAAATCTGAGTAGTGTAACATAAAAAATAAGACACTTTCAGAGTCACATTTGTAGAGCAGCAACAGAATACTTGCACTTGTCTCCACCAGTACCTTCTCACACACAGGACCCCTGAGACACTGCTCAAAACAGTGACAGATAGCGTAATTTTCATTAATCTTCATCACTTGCAGATAGACTCCATCAAAAGTTGCACAGACAACTTCTCCTTACCATGGACAATATTTGACTTTTCATCATGTGTATATGATGAGCAAGAGCACTTCTTCCACTGGCATTTTAAGGAAAAAAATGTTAGAAAATCTTTCTCTTCACAGCTGTAAACATGAAAGGTACCTACTGGACAGTTGGGCAAATGGAACGCATGTGATCTTCCACACACCATCAGAGAAAATTCCTCACCTTTAGCTCATCACAAGGAGCAAGACAAGAAGCTAAAACATGCATAATGAAAGATATAACAGGATATATTCTTAATAAAGGTAGTTAGGCTAGATAGGTAATTCAAGTATTTAGTAAGGAAAGAATAACCTATCACCCCTTCACAAAGACCTCATTTTTTGTCATAAGTACATAACTATGCTGTTAGTGATAAACAAACAAACCCCCAAATAAACACAAACAAAACAATCACACACAAACAAACCAATCCCAACAATACTCAAGCCAGAACAGCAACCTACAGACACATAGGAGCAAATTTCTAAAGCTCCCAATATAGCTAAAATAATATGTTCACTAGAAAAAAGTATCTCTTCGGTGACTCTCAAGGGTCCCTCATGCACAGCTCCCATTACTCACGACTCCAGCCATTCACAACTTACACAGTACTCTTTGATCCTCATAATTGCCAATCACATATAATCAAAAGGCCAGTTACAGATATAAAACACCAATAACGTTACCTCTTCAGGAAGGGAAAATGCATTTCTCTGCAAGGTTCAACACCACAGAGATTATAAAGTAGATGTGCCTCCTACCTTATATTGGTATCGACTTAAAAGCTACTCCCACTAACAGAAATAGGACAAGATACAAAGCACCCTCACCTCTTCAGCATTCCACATCAGCCTGAGCGAGTAATAAACAATAAGGCCCTGTAAGAATAAGGGGCAAGAGCGCACGAGTCCCCGTGTACCGGTCTGTGTCTCGTCATATCAACGTACACGAACAATGACAGAGAAAAGAGGAAAGAAGACCAACGATTAAGAAAGGAAATGAATGAAAATGAGGTAAAAGGAACTCACTGGAGGAGCAGCGGGGTCCGCGGGACGGTCGCCGGCAGGTTCCTCCTCTCCGAGCAGCGGTGCGGGCTCGTCGGGCGGCGGGCGCGCCGGGAGGGTGTCGCAGCAGCTGGCGGCCGAGAAGCGCAGGTGGCTCTTGCGCGAGTCGGCCGTGAGAGACGCGTCGTGCGAGTAGGAGTGCAGGAAGGCGCGGACGCCGTCGATGCCCACGAAGTGCGTGGCAGGCACGCCGCGCAAGGCGGCGCCGGCCGTGGCCAGCAGCTGCTGCTGCTGCTGCGAGCGGCGCCAGCGCCTGAGGCGCAGCGCCAGCAGCAGCAGCAGGAAGGCGAGGAAGAGGCAGGAGACGGCGG